TTTTTTTTTTTTTTTTTTTTTTTTTTTTTTTTTTTTCAGTATGTGATTATTCTAAACATGTACCATAAGTACAAGGACAGCGTGCATATGAAAATTTATTTACTCAACTTTTATAGCTGTTTTTGTGTAAAAAAAAAAAATTATTTGCGCAATAAACAAGTTGTTTGGGACAACTTAAATTCGTAAAGTTTTTTTAAATAAAAATTAGTTATTTTTATGAAGCTGAAAATTCAAAACTTATTATTTTCTAACAATTTTTTTTCTTCTTAAAATTGATTTATTGCATAAAAAATATTTTTTAATACATCCAAACATAATTAAATATATTAAAATTATTTTTTTTAATAAACTTACTCAAACAAAAATTTATTAGGATTATAATTAATTATTAAAATAATCTTATTTTCATAACTTTCTCGAATACATTCTAAAGTACACAAATTTAGCATTCATACGAGTAAATCTTAATAATTACATTTGATCCATATTATGTTTGTGAGGTATGATTTTGGCTAACTAAACATTATTTAATACTGATGAAAATTAAATTTGTAACTACTAAGTCAACTCCTCATATTTCAAAGTAAGTCTTACAATCATTAAAGTAAGAAGCTTGATTATATATATCTAATTAATTTATATGAAAACATTTTTATTGAACACACTTTTCTATATTCTCTCAACTCTCAACACATTAGTTTTTTTAGTTAAAATTTATTAAAAAAATTTAAAAAATATAAGAGAAATTCATTAAAGAAGATATTAGACTTGTCAAATTTTGTAACTTTCAACCAAATTTAAAATCTACTTTAATGGAATAAGGAAGAATCAAGATTTCTCATTGAAGGAGATAATCCAAAGTATTTGAGTAAATTATTAAAAATAAAACATAAAATGGAGATGATAGAACAATTATGAGAGAAGAAAAATATCAATTCTTAATTGTAACTCCATTACAAAAGAAAAATTTAACACGAGAAAATAAAAGACAAAAAAAAACTAGTTCCACAAGTTCCACTACAACAAATTTTTTTATTAATGACAATTATTTAATGATAATAATTTAATTGCCGCACCAGTACATCAGAACGGTCCGTTCTGAAACCAGAACGGGCCGTTTTGGTTTCAGAACGGGCCGTTCTGGATTCAGAACGATCCGTTCCAGAACGCCAGTTAAGTGAAAATAATAGAATATTCTATATTAATTTTATTAAAAATACAATAATTTTGAAAAATATTTTTTTATGGTAAAAATTTTAAAATTACTTATTTTTATAAAATATAATTGTCTTATAAATAGAGTGATAATTTTTCCTTTTTCTCTTTCTGTCTGAAGAAATATTTAAGTGTCACTTTATAATTTTTTGCAACTTATTTAAAATTAGAGGAATAAAATGATAAAAATTAATAGGATAAACATAATAAAATTATTAATTTGTTTTCTTTTAGTGTCCTCTAAATTTTTACACTCATTTAAAACAAAAATATTTTATATGTTATTTTGAATTAATTTAACGAAGTATCATATGATTTTTAATTTTTTAAAAATTTTTATAAATTTGATCTATACATGAAAAGCTTTTTAATTTAACAATTAAATTTTTAAAAATTTGATATAGAACATTAATTATTAAGTAGAATAAATCTATCAAGACTTACTCTTGAAGTAAGTAAATTTTTTCTTCATTAAAAATGAAGATAATTTTACCACAAAATAAAAAACAATTAAACAATAAAATAAAATATAAAAAAATATTAATATATTTATTATATTAGATATAACAACATAATTAAAATATAATTAATAATATATATTTTATAAAATTATTAATATTTTATATATAAAAAAAGAATGAAAAAAATTTTAGTGGGGGCAAGTGCCCCCACTATGATTAACTTAGATCCGTCATTGCATGTGGTTGTGTGGTGAAATGTTAGTCTTGTGTATCCTCTTCCTTTACTTCAGGTTCTATCTCTTTAAGAACAGGTTTTTGTTATTAGGATACATCGTTAATGACTTCAAGAAAAAATACCATGTCATTTCATCCTTTACTGTATAGTGTTAATTTGGTAGTAAGTGGTTCAGTTTAGTTTGACTAACAATGAAATAAAATCTGCTACCATTGTCTTTAGTGATACACTGCATTATCCTTAATGATATACTGTATAGCCCAACTGTTTAACAATTGAAATTATCAATTTCCATTGACAATATTATTAAATCCAGTGTTTGAAATGCTTTGTACCAAATCCACCTGGATGCCAATTTTTTTAAAACACCTGGGACCAGAACGGCCCGTTCTGGTTGCACTCTTAGTGTGTTAATTTTGCACCTAGAACAGGTCATTCCGAATGCAAAATTAACACACCAAGAGTGCACCCAGAACGGCCCGTTCTGGTTCCAGGTGTTTTCAAAAAAATCAGGATCCACTTGTGCATCTACGTGGCATCCACGTGACCAATAATTAACTTTATTTAAATAATTTGGACGGAAGTCTGACATTGCAACCAATTAATTTATTAGGAACCAAATTAAAACAAAAAATAAAAGTGAGATTAAATTAAAACAAATAATTATTATAAGTGACTAAAATACTATTTTAGCCTAATATTTGTATGAATTTATAACATTACATTTCAAAAATAACTTTTAATAGCCTTTAAAATAGCTACTAGAATTTCCACTAAAAAAAATAATTTTTTCCAATAATTTAGTAGATCTTTACCGCCAATTTATATAAATGTCAATAATAGTATTAGCGACACTAGATACATCAGTCATTAGTTAAATGCTGGTAAAGAAAATAATGGTCATTTATATTGCTGCTAAATAATAAATTAATTGTCACAAAAAACTAATTTTGATGTAATGTTCTGAACTCTAATAACTTTTTTCGAATAACAATAAAATAATAATTTGTAAAAAAAAATTTACCGACTCAACATTTTTATGTTAGTATGATTTGGATCGTTATATTATTTGACCAAACTTTGAACTAAGTAAAAAAAAACTGCATTTTCATTTGATTTGCTTTTAGGCGAATGATATATACACCTCTTTTTATTAGTATTTATTATTATTATTATAAGTACATCTCTTTTATTTTATTTTTAAAAAAAATCTTAAAATATTTAATTTTTTTATTCTTTAAGTTTTTAATTTTACATCTCTAATTTTTAATATTATTTTTTCTTTTCACACACTTTTTTCCTTATTTTTTCTAGTTTTTACATGTATCATCTTGTCTTCTTCTAATTTTTCACCTATTTCAGTGGCTAGTTTTAGAGTTTTAGTTCTCTCAATTTTTATATTACTCTTTTATTTTATGACCTCTTTCACTTTTTCACATGCACCAAAATCGTAGAAATTGTAGTCGATAACATTGTAACTACAGTTTCTATCAAACTAGACACATTTTTTCTTCCTAACACTTTGTTTCCTTTTACTCCTCTAAAAACCTTATCATTAAGTTTAGTGTTATGAAAAAGACATTTTCACTGTTCTAGAGTACTATGCGAATAGTGAAATCAGTAAAAAAACTAAAAGAGAAAGGAAAAAAGAATAATAAAAAACTTAAAAAATTAAAATTACATATCAAAATAGGTGGAAGTGAAGAAGAATTAAGAAAGTGCATGTAAAAAATAAGAAAAAGAGGTGTGTAAAAAAAGTGTTAAATTAAATGTTAAGCGTGTAAAATTAAAAATTAAAAATAATAAAAATTAAAGATATTTTAAAATTTTAATTATTTTTTTAAAAAAAGAGATGTACTTATAAAAAAAAATGTATATATCATGATCCTTGCTTTTATGTGTTTTATCGTAATGGTCACAAACAGAATTGCCCTGCCTCCCGAGGCCCCCCTAACTGAACCAAACAAGGGAGGCCCAAGCCCAACATCTTGTGTGGACTTTATTCATGCATGGGAAAAGTGTAATTGATAATGTTTAGTTGCTAAAATAATTTTCGTTTTACCGACTCTTTCACTTCCTATGTTCTTTAGTTTCCTATTTCTATTCTTTAATTACTCGAATTTTAAGTTATTTTTGACAAAACATTCCAATTTGTGTTTACATTTCAATTCATATGATATTTTTTTTAATTATGTCATTGGTACAACTTTTTTTTGGCCGGTGGCTATTCTTTGTAAAAAGAACTTGGTTAATCATTTTTAATGAAATTTCTCTCCTTTAATTATTATTTTTTATTTATAAAACTTGAATAAAAAATATTATTTTAAAAGGACAGAGTCTAATACCACTTGAATTAACAACTTCGAAAAATTGATTTTATATATCAAATATTACTAGTTGTCAACAATGTAATATAAAGATTTTTTTTATATCAAAGATCATTATAAATAATAGTTAGGTTAAAATAGTTTTTGGTCTTTATAGTTTCATTTATTTTATATTTTAGTTATTTTAGTTTAAAATAGATTTCTTTAATCTTTATATTTATCCTTTTCAAGATATTTTTAGTTTCTAAATTTATAGTTTTGTAATCTTTTTAATTTTCATCTCAACAATAGATGTTGCAAGGGATGCTATGTGAGACCCCCCGCAGCTTTTCATTTTCTTCTCTCATTCTCCCTCACTTTCATTTTGGCACTCTGATACTCTTTTCTCTCCCATTTTCTCGGGACCTTGTCCAAATTCCCCTTTTTGGTTGTTCTAGGTGCTGTGTAGCTAGTGATTCTTGCTGAGACTTCTTCTCCTCCTTCATTTGCTCAAGCTTCTTCTCCATTCTCTTCTCGTTCTTCTTCCCGGAGCTCGGAATTCTTCACCGAGGTAAGAGAAGCTAGTTCTTGGCTGTATTGTGTGAAAAATGA